CACATTCGATTATGCTGCTGAGATGTTCTACTCCGCAGACTGGATTCATTGTTGAATACTTCAGATAATAGTTTGGCAAAATTTAATGGTTATATTGGATTATGGTGGTTGACAATCTTTTGTACCTTTTTACCTTTGGTATTTGTAAATTTGCTGTAAGGAACCTCCAGGTAAGAGCAAATTATCGAAGAGACGTCATGCGATTGAGCAAGAGATAGTTGATAGTTTCTGTGTAGCGGCACTCGTAGCTATTTCTCTTACTGCAACAGTATTATGAATCAAATGTCAGCCTGGCTGTTTAGGGCTACTGGAATTTTTGTTGCAGAGTGATTATTTTGAGCAGCTTGTATGGAAGTGAACAAGTTTATTTACTTTTTCATGGTTTTATTGATTCATTACTTTGATGAGATCTTCCTTTGGCTGCAGCCTATTAGTTTTTCATGGTTGTCATCAATGCATTTGTTTTTTTTTTTTTTTTTAAAACTTTTTAAACAATCCTTAAATTTTGAGAAATTAAAAAATAAAAATACTAAAGATAAAAAAATAAAAATAAAAATAAAAATAAGCTATATCACACTTGGGAGTTAATTTACTGGTTGTGTATGCATTAATGCGTTTAATTTGATTTAAAAAGGGAGTCATGCTTAAGCAAAATAGTAGTTTATTTAAATTTGATTTTAAACTTCGACAATGTTAAAAATTATGATAAAACTTATTTTATTTTTTTAAAATTTTTGAAGTTAATTTCAAACTAATTTTAATTGACCTAATCACGATGAATATATTTTTAATTTTTATAAAAATATATGCAGAAAAATAAAGAAGTAATATGAGTTAAATAAATACACTTATATATGTTATGTGAAACACCCTTTATTATTCTAATGGGGTGGTGAGGACAATCAATCAATATTTACAACTTTAGAAGTCCTTGCATAGGTTTCGTTTGACAAATAGATTAGACTAATTTAGTTTATAAAAAGACAAAATAAATTAAATAAAATGTCGCACTTAAATCATAATCGTTTTACTTTTACTTCTTCTCTCACAGTCATCAAATCAACAATAAAAAAAATTAAAAATTTATCACAAACAAAACTTTTTAAATTAAACTAAAATAATTAAAAAGTCGATAAATCAAGCTAAAAAAAAAGTTTATCTCAAGGAAACTACCATCTACCCATTGAGTTTGAAAAACTAAGGGGCCATGCCACCACCCTAGGCCAACCCATGGCCCAATCCCTGGTTCACGGCTTGTAAAATCTAACAAATTTTGTGAACCCATTCTAAAGATAAATATTATAATGTAGCTGTGAAGTTAAAATTATATTTAAAATCTGTTGATATACTTGTGTGCTAGAAAATTTTGATATCCTCTAATATCCAAACATGTAATAAACTTCTAAATAACTTAATATTTTCTATTGGAAAAAGACAAATAAAAATGAGGAGTTAATCGCGGTGAAGGTATGATGTGTATTATTTTGTATAATGGATATATCACATGGTTGAAATGATGTGATATATTTTCTTATTCATTAATTTGCATTTTACATTTAGTATAAAGTGAGAGAGAATTTTATATAATGGATGCATCAGGTGACCAATATGACATGATGTCATCTCTTTTATTGATTAATTGATATTTAGTAAAAAGTGAGATCAAAATTTGATGTGATTGAACACTTTGCACCTCAGACTGAGTAAAAAGGACTTTTCAAGTCTTATTTTAATCACATGATATATCCGCTATATAAAATACTTTCTCAAGCATGGAGAGGATAAAGCAAAACTGAGATTTAAAGTTAGAAAATAAGAAGAGTAATGTTATGCAAACTAATTGAAGAGTAATTGCATAATATATAATAAACACTATAAACTAATTCAAAGGTAAAAAATATTCATAAAAATATTCATGATATTTGATATTTTTTTTATGGTATCTAAGATTATGAAAATAAGAATATTTGTTTAGAATTGACATTTTTAAATGGTACAAATGTGATCCAAAAACATATATGGTTATTGGCCCTCTCCACTGGTCCAATTAGTGAATTCGAGGGAAATCTCACCCTATTATTTTTCATATGTTTATTTTACTACCAACGAATGGGATCAACGAATTTTTTTATTTTTTTTTTGGTGCGTAAAGAACACCTCATTTTTAAGAAATCGTAACTTCTCAAGTATTGAATTTTTCTAATTATTTTGTAATTTCAGCTAAAAATAAAATTTTAATTACAAATTTACTGGTTTAAATTTGACTAATTTATTTTTCAAGTTATTGAGAATGTTGGAGAAATTTGAACGCAATCAACAATCAACAATTAACAATTAAAAAAAAACAAAAATCAAACTTAAATCATAATAAAAGAGGATACAAAATTTTGCAAGAATCTATCAAAACTACCTATTTTTTGTTTACAACGTAAAAATATATGGATACCCTAATATTATCATGGATCTCGAATTTCGTGTCTCCCCAAATTCCTCAAAACAAACAGCACATGTCCTGAACTTTTCATCATCTCCTCCACCATTGAACACCACCACTTTTTCAGCCCATCAATGGAGCTTTCGAAGCTCCCATCCTCCTCTGTACAGACCCACTGCCATCTTCCGTAATCACCAAGTCCTCTGCCAACATAGACATATCGTAATTCGTTGTGGTGGTGAGTTTGATCCGAGCAGTGATTTGAATCCCACGAAGGTTCCCAAATCGCAACCAATCAAGATCGAATATGGAATCGATGATGTGTTGCTTCAGGAGATCGCATAAACTAGGGTCGAATCGCACGTCGTAGAGTCCGTGGAAAATATAGAATTCGGAACAATAAATGGAGGAGAGAAAGTGATAAGGAATGGTGAAGGAATCTTGAAAATCTGGAGCAGTGCATGTGGGATAATTGGTATTGATATTGCCTTGAGGAGTTCGGAGCTGAAGTTTGAGAACTCGGGTCATGTGAATTTTGACAAGAACTGGAGTTTCAGGAAGTGGGTCGATCCATGGTAATGCATACACCTGAATGTTGTAGTCTGTTGATATAGTTGCCATTGACAAAAGCTAGAAACAGAGAGTTGGAATTGGGATGATGAAGATCAAGATTACTTGATTTTTTTGCCGTTTGAGTGTCCATATTTGAAAACCCAACAAGTAATGTTGGAAGCTTGTTGGAAGTTGGGTAGTTTCCTAATTTTGGTTGAGTTTCCATATTTGAAATCCTAAATTATTTTGGAAAGTAAAGATCTGTAGTTTCCTAATATGCTAGGCGTGGCTATCACACTTTGACTACTACTATAAAATAAGGTCACTCACCCCATACCTTCATAATCACACTATTCCAACTCTCTCTGTCCCTCTCCCTCTCCCTCTCCCTCTCAAGCTTCATCATGTTAACTGTATTACGCAACTATGACATTCAGACATATGCAACACCACGGATCAACCCACCACTTCTAGTTCCAGCTCCTACTCCAGCGCTCATCGAAATTCATGTCAGCAATCTGGTTAAACTACATCTCCGAACTCGTCAAGGCAATGCTGAATCCAATTATCCTACATTAGCTTTTCCTGATATTCAACATGACTTCGCCATTCCTCTTCAACTTCTCCCTTTCTCCATTTCGTGGGATCCCTATATTTTCAACCAGCTTTCGTCTATGAGATTCGATCCCGAACTCTGCAATTCCATGAAGGGACGCATCATTAGTTCTCTTTCAAGTTTGATTATTGAATATGGGGTGAGTCTTGGGTTTCAAGTCATTGTGGATTTGAAGATCACCAGCACGATTGAGTTTATTTCTACGCAATCGAGGGACGATATGATGATGAGTATGTTAGCCGCTGATGGGGTGGTTATCGTGGAGGATGATGGTGGTAGTGTTGATGAAACTATAGAGACGATGAGGACGAGGAGGGGTGTTTCAAAGGCTGCCATTGATGGGTTGAAGAAAGTGGTGGTGTTCAATGGTGAAGGAGATGATGAAAAGTGCATTACTTGTCCGGTTTGTTTGGAGGAATGTGGGGACGGAACAGAGCTTACTTCCCTGCCATGTTCTCATCTTTTTCATCATCGCTGCATTGTGTCATGGTTGAAATCACATAATTCTTGTCCGATGTGCCGATCCGTAGTTCCAGTTTAATCATCATAGTATTGTTGGTTTCAGATTAGGTAGTTTTGATTGATTCTTGAAAACTATTGTATTAGATTCATCATTAAGTTTGATTTTTCTTTTGATTGTTAATTATTTTATTGTTTTCAAATTTCCTTTTCATATGGTTTTCTAATTACATAAAAGCTTTGTTATATTCCCTCATTTTGTTAGTGTAATTATTTTTGTGGGAGAATGTAATTGACAAGGGAACAAACGAATACATGGGAAACCCAAAATTCATTATGAAAATCCTACGTGATTTGTGATTAGATCAAGATTAACTTATTCCAAATCCCAATAAATCAAAACACTCAACCTAAAATCATCAAACACTTACGAGAGTGATTTTAGTTTGTTTGTTTTTTAGAATAAACAATAAATCGACACAAACGATTTTTTACGTGGAAAAAACCACAATTGAAGAATCTTCAATTGTAATCAAAAACCACGGGCGAACCGCCACTATCAATCCACTACTGAAGAACAAAAAGATTACAAAGAAATCATACAAATTACCCAACCCTAGTCAATTTGTCTCTGAATCTTCTGTAACTCTTTTCACCACACCTTCGTCACGGAATTGATTCTGAAGTTGATTCCACACCACAACTTCACTCGTCGAATTAACGACTGCGTAGACTCAAACGCCTTTTGGATCCTACGCTTTGATCTTCGGAATCCACCGAAGAGAACTCACTTGAAACTTAAGAAACAACCTCCTTGATGTATGAATCTCAATGCATAAGTTCAGAACTCTCTTAAGAACATCAAGGAAAAAGATCAAAAATCTCCCAAGAAGACTTTAAACACAACCCTAGTTTGTTTAGATCAGATCTAGGAAAAAA